TATTTAGATAAGCGCGTGTTGTTATGTATTATTTATTGTTTATATTACTTGAACTACTTGAAAAATAACTGTTCTGAGCCCAAATTTTGTTGCAAGGTTATTACGTAATCTAATTCGACTATTCATATTTAAGTATTATTACAAAAGGTGACTACTATCACCATTAGCGTTACAAAAATTTTATTCATAGGGGTAAATATTTAAACTCACTCAACTACCCACCTTTAAATATTTACATACAGTAAAAACCTATAAATGTATAATTTTTTTTATTTTAATATAAATAGTTACCTATATCGTTTAACAGTGTCAACTTACATTAATCTATCAAGTTAACTGTATGTTTTAATGTTTTAATACTTAACCTATAACTTCCAATAATATAAATAGGTACTCTACCTACGCATATAATATAATATTATCTTTCTAGTTCTCCTATTACAAGGAAGGGAAATATTGGTATACATTTTGTATATTATATATAAATATTATCTTGATATATTATAATAAATATAAATATTAGCATAGATTTTAATATATTAAAAATAAAAAAGGATGCAATTTACACATGAAAAAAAAATACTCGGGAGTGGCTATATATAATGTATATATTAAATTAAATTATAATGATTATATTAGATTGATATAGGAATTACCTGATAGTTGCCTGCATTATAGACTTATTTTAAAAGATTTTTTTTAACTTCACAATAGATACTAAATTATTTGAAACTTTAACGCGTTATACTATACAAATTACTTATCAAAAGACATTTTCATTATATTTTCTTTATTTGAAAATAATTGTAATGAAGTTACATAATGCGTTATAAACAAAGTAACGCCCTTACAGTAACGCGTTACTTTCGTTACGTTCCTACCCAACACTGATAATAAGTAAAACCCAATTAATTGTATCAATATTTACTTAATATTTAAAAGACATGATTATAAATTCGATAAAACTTTCGATATTAACTGTACTGTTTATCTACTGTAGTACTGAGCCATTGATTAAATTATCCATAGATAGATAGCCCACGTCAATGGGCATAATGGAAAAAAATTAATTAATAGCCCATGTATCGATAGAGACTAGAGAGCGTGTAATGTCACGATAGAATAATTAATTAATAATAATTATGATCATAATATTCATTATAAAACACTAAAATACACAGAAACGGCGACAATAGAAAATAGTTCAGAGTTCGCTGTTCATTCGTAAAATTATGAGATTAGAAATAATCTAAAATCGTATAGCATATTATTAGTATATTTTAATATTATTTTCTTATAAGATATTTATTTTCGTATAGTTAATATTAGTAAATTGTAATCGATTCTCAAGAACATCTAAATTTGATGGTTTAAAATTTATTTTAACTAAATKTATTACTTTAATAAGTAACCATATCGTATTTTTATCGATTTAATTTGATTTAAAGGAAATTTAGGTACTGTTTTTTATTATACTCGTATCATATAAATATATAATTTTAAGCTGACAGTTATGTATTTAATTAAGACAACCCTCTTCATTACATAACAACGTTAAGATGTACCTAACCTGATATAATTTTTATATTTAACCTTTTCAGTAAATGTACTGGTCAAGACAATCAATATTATTCAACATTAATTTAATTGCTATTCTTGTGATAGTAGCTAATACACATTAATGTTCTAAAAATGCTACTTTTGAATCAACTTGTTATGATAGACCATAATGTTTCAATGCAACTTACATATTTTTCGTCATTTATTATTTAAAATACAATATAATATATAGAAGTAAAAATAACAACAATTTAATAAAAACAAAAAGTACAAAATAAGTTATTTTAAAATTTTAATTATTTTTCAAAATGCTTAATTTATTTCGGAATTTTTTGCTCTAGTTTTCTTAATATTTTTTGATTTCCAGTTAAAATCTCGAAAAAGTTTACAATTAATAAGATTGATTATAATGAAATGGCAGTGAGTATGACATGATTCGCTAAATTTACAAACATATGCGAGATTTCATTTTTAATTTTATTAAATATACATTTTTGAAATAAATTTTTATGTGGCATTTTTTTCTACTGATTTCTTATATTATAATTTTTTGTKCCAAACTAACAAATTCCGTGAAACAAGATGTAGCCAAAAAGCACATATTGTGCTGTAATTAAAACTACCTAAAAAAAAATCAGAGTATAAGACTTTAACCACTTGGTTTTTTTCAGGTAGAACTCAATATATACTTCATCTTTTGGCGGGAGTTAGGTTTCTGGATGTAATATTTGTCATATTTTACAACCTCTTTAGCTTAAAATATTGATACGACTCTTTTCTTGGGAAATGGAGAAAATCAAAGTTAGGCTCTATCACAATATGATGGTATTAACTCAAAAGTGACAAAAGTATGACCATCTAAAATTTCTACTCGATCGAGTACCTGCCAGACGGTTCGCAGCATTATCTGTATATTGGAAAATATCACGATGAAGTTGTTTAACATGATGGCGAGAATATTTATGTGCATAATTTATAACAAACCTATTATTATATTACACGCGTACCGTGTACCTGCACGAAGTTGGTCCTCACAGAGACTTTAGAATAGGTACTACAGCAAATAACGTAATAGACATTTGGCTATACAATATTATTTCAAGTCTTCCATTAAACAATTGTATATTATTTTGTTTCATTGGTTTGTGTGTGATGATTGACGGTCAGGCATTGATTATGTACATTTCACCAGCCCCCCCTCCCAAGTATGATTTTTGATTTTTTTTTGCTAAACTTTAGTGTGCCATTAGTGTGACTAATTTCAGAATTTGTGCGATACTGGTTAAACCGTAAATTCAAAAATATATAAGGGGGGYTGAAGAAATTTTCCCCAGCCCCCCATCATAGAAAAAATTTTATTTTTCAAATTTTTCTTTTGCCAAACATTGCAGCGCCCTTAGTGTGAATAAGTGAGGTACCTACCCGTTATATTCGGAAAATCGGTTTTTCATTTTTCGCATTTCCCCAGCCCCCATAAGAGAAAAAATTGAATTTTTCAAACTTTTCTTTTGCCAAACACTAGTGCGCCATTAGTGTGAATTTGTGCGACTGCAATTAGAATTTGTGTAACACCCGTTTTTTACGAAAAATCATTTTTCGCATTTTTTGCATTCCCCAGCTCCTCATCATAGAAAAAATTGTATTTTTCAAATTTTTAATATATTTATACCTAATGACATTTGCGTGATCATACATAAAACATAAAAAATAAATCCGATCAAAATTGAAATAATAGTTGATGAGTTTATTTTACACAAAAAATGCGCTTACAGTTTTAAATATTAGTATGGATAACAAATTTTTGGAGATTTTTACATAAATTAAATAATTTATTTTATTAAAAATGATTCTTAACTTGAAACATTTAATTTCAACATTGGATCAAAATCAAAAAATGTCATATTCATTAATCGGTTATCACCRATTACTACCTTTATTACGTTCATATATAATATAAGACTTATAGTTTCAATGCTTGTTTAGAAAAATCACATGATTGTATTTTCTCTATAAGATCTCTTTTTTTTTACGAATCAAGGTTGTTAGTTAAGTAATTGATTAATATTAATAATTAATTAAGTTTACTTAATTAATGGTCATATTAAATTTAAATTAATTAATAAACATCATTGCATATAAGCTATAGATAACACAACATAATATCAATTACTCAAAATAAGGTTTCTAAAAATATGTTTGCAATTTATCTCAAATTAATCTTTTTAAGAAAAGCTAAATTAATTTTGTTATTTAAAATTAAAATAATGAATATATAAATACTTTTTTGATACGTAGTTTAAATAATTTTATATTTTGTGTAGTAGGTGAGTAGGCTTGGGCCAGAATAAGTTAATGTTTATTATAAGTTTATTATAAAATTATTATACTATAATGTTCACCGTGCACTACCGCACGGTGAACGTTACCTAGCCATAATAAGTAAAAACCGGTTCTGGAGATTAACAGTGTTGTACGTGTAAGTACACGGCAAGTCTTGATGCCGCCGCGGTCGACCACCGCAGATACGGTTTTGCAAAATATACAATATTTTTTCCGAACACGGTAAATTAATATTAATTTATCATACCCACTTAACCCACCAACGCGAACTCATCCCAATACCGTGTTTGCAATTAAATACGTAATCTAGAAATTCCTTGGCGACTATAAAGTAGTCGTTTATAATATATATTATGTGAAACACGCATAATATTATACATTTTTAAAATGCGTTAGTAATTTTCAAAACTTAATAAAATTAATTTTCCGTTTCAGTTTCAAAACATTGTAACAGCTTGTAATTTGTTTTTATTATACTTTATTCATGTATATCATTCTGTATAAGTAGTAATAAATAATTATTTATTTTATTATTATAATTATATTTTACTTCACAGTAGTTGATAGCTATGTTAATATAATAGATATTTCAACATTCTTTATACTGTAATTGAATAATTCTAGGCATCCGCATGAGTTTTCTTAGTGTAGTCCAACATTTTTAAGCGAATTTTCCTTATAACAAAAAAAAAAAAACCAAATTTCTATTAATATAATATCAAGCCTTGATACAACAACAACGGTATGTTGTATTTAAAGTTGATAAATCAAAACCAATTAATAAATAGTATATAGGATTTTGTCGGTCGGTCATTGAGTTTTTATTCTACATAATATATTAAACTTGGAATAACCATGAACAAACCATCACGATAGGCCGGAATAGCCCGGGAAAGGGTTTTTTTTTAGCGCAAAACAAACCGGGAACAAATGTGTAATCGTAAAGTAACAATTAATGCACCTTGTACATGTATTGTTAGCCCTCCTTATTTTTTTTTTATACTTGCCCGCACGCGCCGTCACGCGTTATTCGATACACGATCGTGTGGTTAACATATTTTATTTTTGTTTAGCAGTTTTACATTGAATTTAGTGTGATCACCATTATGGATGACGAATAACATCTGCGCTGGGTCTGTCTCGCATGTCTCTCCAGTAACACGCGCATTATTTTTATTAGTATATTATTGATTTTTTTATTTTTTTATTAGGCACGTACCAGCTTAAAAATTAAACATTTAACATATTTTATTAAATACGCACGATAATTACAATAGCTACAACTTGTTGTGTGCAGTGTGTACGTGTGATAACCACAAATATGCCTTACTTCCAGGTCAATAGAAAACTCTTGCTGATAAAAATCCACTATTTTTTAGGAATTGGAGGTAAGAATATTATGTACCTACTTACATAGAAATTTTTAAGCAGCAATAGTATTATAATAATATTATATTCCGTTGCAAACAATTGTATTATTTATTTTATACCAATACTTAGATTATATCRCTCATTGGATAKGTCACAGTTATTTTAGTYGCGCAACATAATATAAACATATATTATCACATAAATTATGGGACATAATTATAATACTTTGAGTCAATATTATTATTATTATGTGTTATTTTGACGTTTGACTATGTAAAGAATCCTGTTTTCCACTCACTATATTATGCAGTTAATATTATGCTTATTTTAAAAATGTCAAAGTCGCTCAGAATAAACCACAAATTACGATAGATAACCATGAGATTCTTTAAATTTATACAAAATAATTAAATATGAAAATGTATTAATATGATTACTTCGTAATCTAGAAAATTGGATTGCATTAAGGTAAGTACGAATCAATATGTTCGGTTTAAAATAATACCTATATTTTTTATTTTTATCAAATTCCACATCAATCGTATACAATATTGAAGTAGGAAGTTAAATAAAATATGTGATTATGTAATAATATTATAGRTAATAAAAGGTTTAGCATGTAAGGATTTTTTTAAAGTATCAGTATCTACCCATATATAGTAATAATACATAAAATAATTATTAATATCAAAGGTGCTGGAGTTTATAATTATGTTGAATATGTTCATTGATATACCAAAGACCTAACACTATATTATAATATACAAACGATTCTATAGCAATTTTATCCAATTTTTTTAATCAATCAAATCGTTTGTTTTACTTACTTCAAAACAATGTGCATACCTACACATATAATATATAATATATACTATACTTACACATATAACTTGGTAGGCATTGCTGTGCATAATAGCTATATAATTTATAGGTGTATAACATTATTTATTAAATTAATGTCATAAATGAAGTGATTATATGATCTTTGAGGTAAAACGGGTCAAAAATATTAATTTATATTTGATATAGGTTATTACTTATTAGGTATAGATAGTAGTCTCAAATCGTAATACATTTTTAGTCTTCATTTGTTTTACTTACGAATCATTTTATATTAAATTGAATATTCTACTGGATATCGTTTATCAATATATTATTAATTATACAGTTTAAATTGTTTTCTCAATTTAGAGTAAAAATAATATATTTTTTACGATTTTTTAAAAATATTCTGTTGAAGAATAATATTTTTAATAACATGTATGATGACTACGTGCCATTGCTGTGGTAACGACTGTACGCAATTTGCACTAAATTTACCCAAAATATGAAATGCGTTTGCAATTTGTACCATACCGGGTAATTAAATACGAATTGTAATATTCGCCAAAATCCAAATCAATATTATTCTTTTGTGTATGTATGTACACGTTTCTATAATAGTAATTACCATGGTTGGGATTTTATAGCACTTAAAATAGTATAAATATTCACTGTAATACGAGCATCACATTAAATATTACTAAATATGCAAAAATAGAAAATATATTGATTAATAATTTTTTAATCACTTACATTTTACTTTAGCGTATAATTTAGAACCAAGTACCAGATACGAAATTATCCTAATATTATAATATTATAGGTACCTATTACCTATATGTTATCGCTGTTATTGTACGGCGTTGTATCAGCGTAATCTATCTGTTTACTTAATATATACTCTATACTACATTTACAATTTATTTGATAATTCGATTAACAAAAATTTAAAAACACGATTACCAAAATATAATTTTATAAAATATGACCGATTTTGATTTAAAATAGGTAAAAATGTAAAAAATAGGAAATAAAAATTTTTAATTTGAGTTATCTGTATCATGAAACACATTTTGAGCTTACTCTGCTATTTTTAAGCATCTAATTTCTGCAAATGATATAAAATCCCGACCCTAGTAATTACTAAAACTCGGATTAATAATATGTATTACAAAAACTAAAGTATGCAAATATTTATAGTATATGTAATAAAAAATAAAAATATAACTATATGGATGTTTAAAAGAAAAAAATTGGCCAAAGGGTATCGCTCTGCTGTACAGTAGATATTATATGGAGAGTAGGTCACTATATAATGGATGTGTTAAATTTGAATGCAATGACAGGTATCATTGTATACGAAAAACGATTCTGAACGGAGATGATTTGTCAGTCTATAGGATAAATTGTATTACCTATATTAAAATTATAATATATTTTATACGTGCACAAATTTTTAAATATAAATTTTTTATACGCTCACTACATGATTTCTATATCTTCTCTTGAGTTTTTTTTACAGTTATTTAAAGAAAAAGTTATGGAAAACCTTGTGTTGGGTTTTTTAACCTTAGATATAAATCATAATAATTTTATGAATTTTCAACTTCATAATTCCACGCAAATTTTCGCGATTTTGACATATTTCGTAAACATTTGAATTTTAAATGCTTATAAAAATTATGACTAACGATTTATTATTATTTTTTTTTACTACGATAAGTACAACTTATGATAAACCTTATATTAAATTTTAAAGATTTTTTGGATATACATCTTGTTTTGAAATAAAATAATCTGTTTTATATAATATAAAATTTTCTTTGTTAGTATAGGTACCCACGTACGTATAAGTTTTTGACCTGTATTTATATATACGTTTTGTTTTTATTTTCGAATATTGTCAATTACTAACTAATAAATATAATACTTGCTGATTTATTTATTGAAAGAGATAAAGCTACTTTTTTCATACTTACCTTATAGATTTTTAGTTTTACCACAGACGGTCACATTAAACTTTAATTTATATTAATTATTCATTATTTACAAACAAATATATTGTTATTATACATTCTACAAAATTAATTGCTCGATTACTATCACTAGCCATAAGCTATTTGTTATTATTATTACAATGATATTTATTTTTGCCATGTTTTGTCCGAGATATTTATGATCATGGTCCATGGACGACGACGAGATAACGGATGTTAATGGTGACTGGAGAGTCTATAAAGTTTTCACACGTCCGGTCAGTAATGTAATATCAAACCAGTACCAAATCTTAGTCTGGATCTTTATAGCAATGCAACACTTATAGGTGCCTTATGCATACTCAAATTGTCAAGATTAAAATATGTATTACGACCTTTGTGTTTGATCTTTACACATATTTATACCGACTAAAAGAACGTTGGGTTTCAACAGATGTAATGGGTGCAAATTTCATAATTGAAATGTCTAAAGAAGTGAGCTTAGTGGCTTAGTCTGTAATAATACTCATTTATTCTGCAATGAATATTTCTGATTCATTTTAGGTAGTTATCAGACTTGGGTAGTACCTATCCCAAACGCAGTCTAGAATGAATGAAAAAAAAATAACGTGGATATTTTCATCCAATATCAACCATAGATTAGATATTATGACTGGTATGATTTTTGCACACGTACTTCGGAACCACGAAATCATCACGAAATTGCGATAAGTTTATACGGGCTTAGCCGTTTTCGACCAAAAACGTACCCTTCCCTTTTCGGCCGATTCACTTTTCGACMAAATTTAAAAAARGTYKATTCCCTTTTCGACCAAAATYGTACCCTTCCCTTTTCGGCCGATTCACTTTTCGGCCAAATTTAAAAAAGACTGATTCCCTACATACAGCTGACAAATATAAACCATATTTTAAAATTGTTATTATTATAATATTTTGTTAAAATTGTATAGGTAAATATGTAGGAATGAGGAAAAACAAGATTTATTGAGAAAATTAAAAATATTTAATATCAATCATTTGGAACGAATTTATCACATACCCAAATAAAATTATTTGATAATTTTAAAAATAATATGTATTTACATTTTACMCTCAAATCCGAATTCTAGTTGTAAATACAAATAGCTAATAACACAGAATATTCCATTTCTTAACATTATTCTATAAATCTACGGTACGTCAGTGTATTGACTTTAAARCTCTCAAACAATTAATTTATTATAGGTATACTAACCAACATTCGCATTTTTATAATCTTCCGCGCAATATGAAAGACATTTTAAATAAAGAAACTACAAAAATTAAAAAGTTCATCTCAAAGTGTAATCTAATAAACAAAATTTGCATTAATCATCATTAAAATACAAACACAAACTAAACTAATAATATGTTGTAAATATTAACAAATCTTTATATCCTATAAAACATATTATGTAGAAAAATGATGGTTAATAACCTTAGTAAGTTTAGGCTGGCTTTATAATATAGTATACGAGTATTATACGAATTAATCTAAAGTTACTCTAAATTCGTATTGTTTTTGTTTTTTGTTTTGTAACTGTTAAGTTATCATAGATGTAATCTAGTGGCTTTAAAATAAAAAAAAAGCTGGTAAGTCGTGTATGTCGCTCTGCTGTACAGTAGGTTACAAGTGGGTTACTGTAATGGATGGAATTAAATTTGAATCCAATGATATTATATCATTGTATACAAAAAACGATTCTGAGCGAAGACGGTTTATCTGTCTAGGATATATTATTATAGATTATTACAAATTTTCAAATCTTAGATTTAAAAAGAAAAATTTTTATGAATTTCTAG